TCTGCAACTGTTAGGTTTGTGTTACACGTGTGCCGTTTTAGTGGTTAATGGCAGACACCAAGGACTAAAGGCTTTTGGGAAGTCAGCACTAGTGGCTCCAGGATCAGCTATGCAAAACCAAAGGATAATTTCTTTGGAGGGTTTACACATAGAGGCAAGTGCTGCACACTGAGCCACATTCTCAGCACCAAACAGAAGTCTCAAAACACAGCTGTTTTTAGACTTTTACTTGATTGTGTTACCCTCTTTACTAACTTTTCCACTCTGTAGTTGGGTCTCGTATTGTGCTGCATGTATATAAACATACATTATCAAATGCACATTTTGTTGAGATTAAGTTAATGATCTAACAGTCAAAACTTGTATTTTCAATTTTTAAAAAAAATTGGTACATATTGTGCCTAAACCAAGAGGTGTGTCTCTAGTGACTGTTACAATAATGCTAATGGACTGTTAGATGTTTGCTCTAATGTTAGATGTTAATTTATGCCTTGTAAATGAGAAACTGTATAGTCTGCACAATAAATGCCATATAAGGAGCAAGCTTCCTGCCGACACCTGTGCTGGTTCACACTCCGAGCAGTCTCCCGCCTGGTGGGAAGAATTTCTGGCCTGTATAATTTCCGTGATAAGCCAGATTATAAAATACATTTAATTACCAATAACAACAAATCCTGTCATGCCTTGTTGACTGTTTTTGAGAACAGGCTTTAGGAGCCAATCTGATGCTATCTCTGTTCTCCAATACAAGTTGGCAGAACAAGTTCCATTGTTCTGCCACAATACAAGTTCCATGGTGTTCGAATGGAAGCATACAGACTGCAACTTTGGAGATCTTTTAAGTCCTGTCAGGACCAGTTTTACCCATATTGAATAGTTAGGAAGACTTTTTTTGAGCTGCCCTCCCTCCCCTGTTTTGTAAGTTCAAGAATAGATTGTAAAAGCTAGACATTTGCTTATTGACAGGGATACTTAATGTTTGTGCTGTAAGTAGAAGCAGTCTTACTTCCTATAAATAAATTTTATTGCAATTTAAAATCCATTAGTGTCTTATGAAAACTAATAGTCTTAAAATTCATGTATTCACCAGAATCCAGTAAGTTAAACTCAACAAATTTAGGTTGTTTATTATATGGCAGGCATTGTGTTAGGGGCTGGATCTACTGTGCTTAAGACATTCAATTTATTTATCTATCAGGCAAGTGTCTTGAGTGTCATATTTGGCCGAACTGAGTTTCTAACCTGGGGCTTGATGTTTCCGCCCTCCATGGGTAATGTGAAGACTTCTCAAGGAAGTGGTGCTTGTGTGCAGCTGTGAAAGATGGGTACCAGTGTTTAGCCTGGATTAGATTTCCAATATGCCATGTCAGAGTTTTCTGTGGAAAAAGCATAGAGTATTTGGAAAATCAGCAAAGCCGTAGAATACCTTAAGATGGGGACAGGCAAGGAGGATCAGTGGCTTAAGATGAGAAGACAGTCAGTCACCATTTTCCCTCAAATTATATTATTTGTGTGTGTGGTGTGAGATATATTAGTAGGAAATGCTGGTGCTACTAAGTTTGTGTGTCATGGTACATGTTTGTAGGTTGGAAGACAACTTTTAGGTTACCTTCTCTGCCTCTTGGAGCTAGCAGGTTTTTACCCCAGCATCTGGCTCCTGAGTCTTTATTGGTAAGATAGAGCAGTTGGGATTTTCATCATTGTTTTTAAACAACAGGAGAATATGGAGACATGTGCCTAGGCTTCTGTGTTCAGCCTCCAGGTGAATGTGGTTGCCGGTTCCCAGAGACAGTAGAAAGAGCAGAGAACAGGGTTTATTTTTTAGTTCCTGAGGAGTGCACACATGGGAACCTGCTATGTCCTGATGGCTTGGTCCTGGAAACCTGATTGGGGCAACGTGGAATGAAGAAATGCTAAACCACAAGGAAATAGGAGTGCCTATAAGGACACACTGAATTGTTAGTGGTTCAGAATAGTAATTGGCAGGTATTTTAAATGTGATTCAGTGTTGGCATTTTGTTTTATATTTATTTCTTGTGTGTTGGTCTCTTGCCTGCATGCGTATCTGTGCACCCTGTGTGTGCCTGGGGTCACCTGCTGAGGCTAGAAGAGGGTGTTGATCCCATGGAACCAGAGTTAGAAATGTGTGTGAGCTGCCATGTAGGTGTAGGAATTGTACCAGGCCCTTTAGAATTGGAACAAAAGCTCCTAAGTGCTCATTTCTCCAGCCCTGACTTTTTAGAGAGAGAGAGGTGGAAGGTAGTGATAGGGAGGGAGAGGGAACAAAAAGAGAGAATCTCAGTCATTTGGCCACTTGTGCAGTTCACATTTCTTGAGCCCCATTTTTGTCTTGGGACCTGTAAGCTGTGAAAGACGTGTGTGTGTGTGTGTGTGTGTGTGTGTGTGTGTGTGTGTGTGTTGGTCATAAACTTACAACTATTTTGATGAGACAGTGTCTTGTAGCTGTTTTATTTAGCTTAGTTTATTTAGTTGACCATTTAATAAAAATCCATCTTTTAAAAGAATCATATAAAAAACATTATTTTAAAAAAATTTTAGTGATGTTTTGGCCTAGGCTTAAAATGGGGCAGGGGTGCAGTTTTACTGAGACTCCCCTTGCTGTGTATTTGATTTTCAGGGTTTGTTCAGCTTCTCTCCTCATCTTCCCATCAAGGCTTGTACAGAACTTGCATTATGTGCAATTTTTACTATTTTACTATTAAGTACTGTGGTACTTATGCGTGGGTGTGGTAGGCTGTGGACTAACAGGCTGCTGTGCAATGAGAATGTGACATTATATATCATGTCTTTAAAAATAAGCTTTTTCTTTCTTCCCAGTTGATCTCCTTTTAGAAACTCATCCTGTTTAGATAGTGAGAATTGCTGATACACCATTAACAGTACCAGTAAAGTGTGGATAGTTATTTCTGATTCTTTTCTTAATGTATGGTGTAATGGATTAGCTTTGGAGATTTCTAACTTTCCCTTTTATTTTAGAATTTTAGAAAAATAAATGAACCAAACTTTTAGGCCCTGATCAGAAGAAGCAGCTGTCACCGCACTGCCTCCCAGGAAGAGCTCTAGAAGCAGCCTCTTGCCTTGTTGGAGGATTTCCCTCACTACCTGACTCTAGCCCTTCACCTTCTGGGATTTTTGAGTCTTGGTTGCTTCAGCCCCACTCTCTCTTGGTGTTAGGCAGAGAGTAAGTGCTGGTTGATATGGGTGTGCAGAGTAATGATTCTTTGAGGCAGCCATGGGGACAGCAGAAAGAGAATACTCTGATCTGGTGGGACACAGACATCATTTAATTATTATAGTTTCTTGTGCTTGGTGAAGTTTGTATTTCTCTGTCTCAAGGAATTGAGGAATGTACTAGATTCCATTTCAATATCTACTAGATTCTATCTAATACCTTTTCAGGTTTCATAACATTCCCAGTCATGTGGGACACGGTTATGGGAAAGACAAAGTAATCTTTGACATAAGAGTACTAATGAGATGGCATAAAAACTTTTATATTTTATTTGATAAAATAGAGCAATATTTTATTCTATTTATATAGCACCTTTTCTTGATACTTGCTATACAGTAATATTGAGATAAATAAATCATTTTAAAAATGTGGAAACATTGAGTGAGAAGTGGCTAGGGAAAATACACAGAACAGAAACAGTGCTTGAAATGGGTGGGGCTTCACCTGGAGGGCTCTTTGTTGATTAGTCTGGCGCGTCCCATCTATACTGTGGACCGTGGACTGGACCATGAGCTGTGTTTGTCAACTTGAATTGCTCTGCTCTTTACTTGTTGTTAACTTGGAATTTTCCTTAGAAAGTAAGTAGTGTCGTTGATGTTTTAGAGCTTTCCTGAGGATTAGTGAGAGTGAGTTATGTAGTCATTCCCTGTGTCGTACACACCAGCTCTTACTCTAGGGTTAGGTCACGATGTAGTAGTTCTCACAAGACTAAAGAACATGGTAGTTGTGGCTTCTCTCCTTCCAAGGTAAGGCCATGTGGAATCCTAAGGATCATTTCATTTCTTCAAATTAATTAATGTACTCTCATTAATTATATTCATATTGGTATACCCATCATCAACTTAAGAGATCAAAGAGATCATGACCTGGGAACCAGCCTCCTGTGCCTTTAAGTCTGTTTTAAACTAAATGCAGCCTCATTTTCTTCACCCCATTTCCTTCATCTGTTTTTTTTCTCCTCTTCTTCTTCTTCTTCTTCTTCTTCTTCTTCTTCTTCTTCTTCTTCTTTCTTCTTTCTTTTTTTTTTTGCTGTTCTGTTCATTTTTTTTGTATTTATCCTCATTCCTGATAATAAACATGTGCTCACTGTTTCTTGCTATTTTAGAGGATCGATCTCTCTCTCTCTCTCTCTCTCTCTCTCTCTCTCTCTCTCTCTCGACAGGCTTTCTCTACATAGCCCTGGCTGTCCTTGACTCACTTCGTAGACCAGGCTGGCCTCAAACTCACAGAGCTGCCTGCCTCTGCCTCCTGAGTGGTGGGTCTAAAGGCGTGCACCATCACACCCGGGGATTCCTGCTATTTTAAACGTTTTTTTGTTTTGTTTAGTTTAGTTTAGTTTAGTTTTGTTTAATGTACTATTTTTTGTGATGCCATTTTTCTGCTGACTGCTCACCTATTGGTGTCAGTCATTTTTATTATTTATTTTCCTTTCTACTGATTACTCTTGAAGTGCATCTTTGGGTTTTCAAAGTTCAGTATTGAAATCAGTGCCTACCATCATCAGAACAACAAAGGGCCTTAATATGCAAATTTAAACTTTAATTTAAATCATTCTCTAGAAATCATGCATGTAATTGTATTTTTGTTTTTTAGTCGGTGATGTACTTACAAGCTTTTTAAAAATTACCCGCATTAGCCTTTGCTGCTGTCGCATGTCACTTTGACACTAACATAAGCGTTTTCTAGTGACTGCTCTGACCGTAAGCTCCTTAATTAAACAAGTTTTCTTACCCTCTTTTCTTTTTAGATTTTCAGAAGAAACAACCAGACGATGATTCCACCCCGAGTACAAGTAACAGCCAATCAGATTTGTTTTCTGAAGAGACCACCAGTGACAACAGCAATACCTCCATAACCACGCCAGCTCTTAGTCCCAGCCAGCAGTCGCTCCCGACAGAACTGAATGTAGCTTCCGCGAGTACAGAGGAATGTAAGTCACAAGAGTCATAGCGCAGCCTGGGAACTTTATCGTGAGTGCCTTGGTCATGCGTGCTTATCCTCAGATTCTCATTCTAAGATAGTGTTTGGGTATGGAATTCTGGTCTCAGCAAGCTAGAGAGTGCCAGCCATTCCAGAGAAGGTAAGGTCTTTTTAGGAAATAGCCTTTTACATTTTCTATATGAACATAACGTTTTTGAACCAATCTGGAACAGCTCTGGCTTCACATTAGCATCCATGAGGATATTAAATTTTTTTTATTACATTTTTAAAAGGTTTGTGTATTGAGGTATACTTGCCATGGTGTATGTGGAGGATAGAAGACAATTTGAAGGAGTCAGTTCTCTGCTTCTACGATGTGGATTCCATGGAAGGAACTCAGGTCATCAGGCTTGGTGACAAGTGCCTTTACCTGCTAAGATGTCTGACCAGTTCTCTGTTGAGGATTTAAAGAACAGTTTTAGTTTTTATATCTTCCTTGAGCATAATTTAATTTGTCTAAGGAGAAAGAAGCACAATGACTCTGCTTTTTAAGTCTGTAGAGAATTCTAATGTACATCAAGCATTTAGAATTATCAATTTTAGGAACTTAAACTTGATGTAGGGGCCTTAGATTGACCTTTTGCCTCTGCTAACTGGTCTTGATTAAGTGTCCAACTTAGGTAATAAAGACACAGGCCCTGTGAAGAAAGTAGGAGATAATTTCTTGTATTGTTTAATATTTTAGAGAGAGAGAGAGAGAGAGAGTAGAATATGAGAATGTGAAGATGTAAGTGAGCAGGCATGTGCTGTCTCTCTCCTGTTGGGCTGTGAGGCCTGGGCATTGAACCCAGTTAGTCAAGCCCGCTTTTTACAAGTGCCTCTATCTACTGAACCATACCACTGGTTCTCTTGTTACTCCTTTGTATGTGATATGGGAATACTTTCTCCTTAACCTTTATAATGCTAGTAATGCTAGAACTTTTTTAGGGGGGAACACAGTGTAACTGATAATATTTGTTCAAAATTAGAAAGATATTATGACATAGTTTTTGCCTTGTGCTTTACTTAAGGTTGGAATGTAGTATTTCAAATTTAATGGCTATTTAGAAATGTAAAGTTAACTAGTCTACTAATTTTGAGAAGGTTAGCAAGAGACAAATATTATTTAAAGTTTTCTTGAGTTATTGTATTCCGTTATATTGAGAATGTAAAACAAAGATCTTTAAAGAATTTTTGTTTAGCGGGGGTTTAATATGTTTGTTACTTTAAATCAGAGGATGGCAAACAGAAGTGACCATCCCCCTTCTTCCTCCCCAGAGCAATGGGTTCCTAAGAGACCTAGAATACTGTAAATATCTTACATTGCACAGGACACTCTTTACACAGAAGTGATCCAGCCCGATCCTGTCAGGATGCTAGGATTAGCCTGACACATAGCCGCGGGCCAGCCTTTCTCGTAAATGTTGTTGAAGGGCACTGCCTTTCTCAGACCTGGTATTGAAGACAGAATGTTGTGAAGGGACACTTCTCACATGCAGCATGAGCTGTGGAGAAGAGCTGCCTGGAACTTCTCTTTGGCTAATGACTCCTTCAGGCCATTCATGAAGGACGAAGCTGGAAAAGGTAATGACTAGCTGGAGAAGCCTGAATGTCCAGCCAAGCCGTCAGGACTTTGAACAAGAGCTGTTGTTCTACTGAAGAGAAAGTGACGGGGTCACTGTTCTTCTGAAGAAGCAATCTGACAGCATTGCGAACAGGGATGGCTTACACTGAAAGAGAGCATTCCAGAGGAAGAGATCTTAATATTATAACTTGTTTAATGCAGCTAGATAGGGTATGCAGATCACGTAAGAGAAATATGCTAATGGTATGTCAGGGAAGTGGAGTTACAGACATGTGCTTATTGAGGGGCTGATGAAAATGAAAGCTGTGACCCTTCATGTTAGGAAAGTATGCACCCTCCACCTACACCTGATTTTATCTAGATTCATTTAAAACTCTATAGTCTTATGGGAAGGTTGGAGCTGGTCAGGATCATGCATGTACCAAAACCAGGCTACAACAAACAAGTTAGCCAAAATGCATGGGAGATGAGCTCATCATCTTAAAAAAATTTTTTTGTTGTTGTTGTTGTTCATGACAATCCAGTGAGGTATTAAAATTTTTGTTCAAAGAAACAAAATAATTTGTCTGTGGCCACGAAACTAGTAGGTACTAAACCAAGATTCAGAGGGCCTTTTTTTTTTTTTTTTTTTTTTTTTCAGTCAGTTGATTCACTTTGTAAAATACACCTGTCACAAAGGAGATTCATGAGGGTTCTCTTCTGTGGAAACCCATGTAATAAGAATTTATCACAAAGGGTTTGTGAGTAGACAGGTCTGTATGATTGCTGACATTTTATCTGGAGGTAGACCTTTTAGGAAAGCTGACCTAGAACCAGGGGTTCATGTAGCAGTTGGAGACCATGGGCTCTGAACAGGCCCATATTGACAGAACCAGGCTGTGAGGCGGAGAGTCTACAGCCTACAGCCATTTGGAAAGCTTCTCCAGATGGGCTTTTCTGGCATCCCAGGTTGAAAGCAGCTGTTCTGCAGAGGGGAGATGAGTGCTGGGCTTGGGGTCAGTGTGAAATTGCTAAAGGATGGCTATTTTAGAATGCCAGCGAGACACTGATTGACAAGTAGTGGAGACCCAGGTAAGGTGGCATAGGCTTTTGCTGCTGCACCTTTCGAAATTTTTCCCTCTAACTTGCCTAGGAATAAGGGAGGGAGACAAGCAGACTGCTGGTACTTATAAGGACCATAGTTTCAGTTCTTGCTACTTCCCAGCTTTAAGTAGAAAGCAATGGCACTTGAGTTTATAGGAAATGAGCCTGTGATTCCAGAGCTAATCACCAGATAACTTGTGGTATTCGTTGAGTATCCTTTACTTAGTTGCATAGATCTGGAAGTATTGTGAGTTTTAAATTTAATTTTCTAATAAAGAGAATAAGTGTTGCTTAAATCTACCTTCAACTTCTTATTATTAACAATCAACTAAAAGATAGAAATGCCTGTGTTTAGCAAGACAGAGATAAAACTGTCAGAACGATTGAACAATCACTTAAATGCTTAAGTGACATTTGTCTGTTGGGGCACACATAGCTCTCCTTTCCGAACTGTGTGATTATTGAAGAGAACGTGAACGTTGAACCTTTTCAACAAGGCGCTGTAAACAAAACTCAGATAAAGTGAGAGGACTTGTCATAGCAGTCCTAATGCAGGACAGTAGGTGAGTCACCAGGCACCTGACGCTATTCCAAATGTGTACAACAAGCTAAGCCACTTCGCCTTCATATTTCTCTGTAAAATAGGTGCTTTTTGTCTATGTCACATATGTAGAAACTGAAGCATGGATGGTTCCATATCTTACTTGGGATCGTAGAGCTGTCTGCTTGAAAAGGCCTGGCTCTCCACAACATAGCTGCTGGTCTAGACTGTGTTTATCGCAAAAAAAAAAAGAAAAAGAAACTGATGGAAGTTAGGCTAGACAGCAGCTGCTTTCTGCCTTTTCTGCTGCCTATTTATTGTTTCTGCAGGCTTTTCTTAAGGTGATAAAATGTGATTTGAAAGATGGGCCTAGTGGTGCATACACTCAGAAAGGCAGATGCAGGTAGATCTCTGAGTTCGATGCCAGCCTTGTCTACACAGCCCAGCCAAGGCACAGAAAAACCCTGCCTTGAAAAACACACACACACACACACACACACACACACACACACACACACACACACTGATTTGAAACGTTTTCCCTCTGTTTCGCTGATGCCCATTTGACTATACAGATTACGTATACTGGTTATAGACAGCATGGTGTCTCAGCTCCTGCATACAGGGTGTAGTACAGACAAGGCTGACCGGCACAGCTGGCCTTTCAAACACTACTTTGTACTGAGCATGCTTAAAATTCTCTCTAGTAAGTCTTGAAACAAGCAATTATTGTCAAGCATGGTTATCCAGTTGTGTTATCGGCTTTTAGGAGGTATTTGTACTACGCAGCTACCCCCTGTGCCCCGCCCATCCTTCTCCACATGTGTGTTCTGCATTTGCTTACATTTTCTAAGTCTTACAGTGTTTTGTAGCTATTATATGACTGGATTGCTTTCTTGTTCTGCAAGTTTCTTATTGGCATAGAAACACTGCTGATTTTTTAAATTGGTCTTATATCATGAACATTTTGAATTTATCATTTCTAATTGTTTTGAGTCAAGTCTTGAGGTCTTTCTATTTATGAAGTCAAGTCATTTACAGACAGGGATAATTTTACTTCCTCTTTAGTTTAGATGGCCTTTCCTTCTTTTGGGCTCATATAGAGTGCTGTAAGAGATGGTAAAAAGAGGGCTGGAGAGACGACTCAGAGGTTAAGAGCATTGGCTGCTCTTCCAAAGGTTCTGAGTTCAATTCCCAGCAACCACATGGTGGCTCACAACCATCTATAATGAGATCTGGTGCCCTCTCCTGGCAATGCACATGTACATGAAGGCATAATGCTGTATACATAAATAAACAAAAAGATAGTTTAGAGGAGAGCTTTGTCTTATTTCAGATCCTAGGGAAATTGATTAGACTTTTCCTCATTGGTTGTGTTGCTTGCTGTGTGTATGGCACGTGTGACTTGTGTGTTACGATATCATCTTACTATATTCCTAATTAATCGGAGCTTTTATTGTGGACAATTTTTGTTTGCATTTTGAGAGTCTCATTCTCTTAACCCAGTTGGCCTGATGCTCACAACGGCCCTCCACTTTCAGTCCCTTGAAAGCTGGGATTATGGGAGTGAGCCACTGTGTTATAGTAGGATGTTGAATTTTATTAACTTTCTTCTTTGTCTACTGTCCCTCTTTCTGCTGGTGTGATGCACGCACTCATTGGCTTGCCAATCTTGAACCATTTTGTATCCAGGGACTGGGTTTCGGTCATGGCTTATAACTGTTTCAGTATGTTGTTGGGTTGTGGTTGCTATTACTAAGAA